ACATTTTATGATATTTAAGACTATTTCAAAATATGGTGATTCTTGAAAATTCGATTTCACTAGAAAATATCGTCTACCCCCCCCCCCCTTTTTTCGAGAGCTTAAATTAATGATAATTTACTACCTAGCGCTGGAATTAAAATGATTAATCAATTACCATAGAACTGTTCTTTGTATTAAACAAAGATTTAATGGACAAATTGCCATTAAAATTGAATTTAATGGGTGCCAAATGTAGGCGGGAATCAAGAGTTACAGTACGTAGTTCTTTAGGGTTTGAAGCATACTTTCAATAAAATCTGTGAATTACTAAGGACCCTTTCAGTGGCTATCAGTTATTGTGGAAAAACCGAATAGAAATGATTCATGAATCCAATACAAATGGAATTTCGAGACGGACAAAAATGCACAATCCTAGCATAAGGCGAAATTTTAAGATTTGCCCATTTAGTAAAATTATGGCACGCTGGTGTCAAAAGAGGTCACACTAATGACCCGGCTGAACACCATCAAGGAGAATTAAATTGTCATTATAAGATGGAGAGAGGACTACGCGACGGATTATAGGATCACCCGATGTCTGATCTTCAGAGTTCAAGTATGGACCTCGTGATTTACCTCAGCGAGAGCACTGCACAGTGGAATTGACAATAAATGATTAGAAATGCACACACATATACAGAGAGAGAGAGAGAGAGAGAGAGAGAGAGAGAGAGAGAGAGAGAGAGAGAGGCAACAAACATGGAACATGGTTAATGAAAAATTCTTTGATTCACTTATAACATAGTAATCCTGACACTTGTGAAAGGATACTAATTTTTTTCTAAAAATTCTTAGGGGTTGTATATGGGATGGAATGGGGTTATTTTAGTGCATATATGGAAAGGAGAGGGTCTGAAAAAATATAATTTAGAATAATGGGAATTTTGCTATTAAGTGCGTAGTAGGAAGGGTGTAAAGAGGCCTTTGTTTACCTGTTCCTCAAAGGGAAATGGAAATATGCAAGGTAGGGGTTATTTGCGGTGCCATAGCAAGATTTGTAGACTACGGATTTTTCTGAGATTTGAAAATATTTTTGGCCTTGAAATGTTCTAGCTCTGTGCCAAATTGCAGGTGAGTTGAGGCGGTGATTTTTTAAATAATTTTTTATGTTATAATAAAGGAATGTATAGAAAAATAACAGGTAGTTTGTGTACCGCTTGCCTATCAAAAGGGAAGATACTTCAATCTGAAGTCCTAAATTTTGAAAAGAGTTACCTTTCTTAGCTCTTTGTGCCTTTCTCTCCATGGAAAGATAACTCTTTAAATCTTCATTCTGACCTCAAGGTATTTATTATTTATTGTATTAACGCATACAAAAAGTCAAAGTGCTATCTTTTTGAACTTTAAAAATTATATTTCCTCTTTTTTTTTATAGCTAACTAGATGAAATCCAGAGAAATGAAATGAAGGTGCGGGGAGTAGAAATTTATCATTGAATAATTCCAATGGTATTTCTTATAACTTCTACCGACAGTAAGCGAATTCGAAGATTTTACATGTAGTTACAGTACCCCCTCAAAATTATGTACAAACTTCTTATCAATTTTATTAATCTATGTGTTCTCTCTTTATTTTAACACATATATTTTGATACCTTTCGTATGTAAACATCGTACTCCCTTTTATCAACTGTTTCTCTTTGCATCAAGGATAAAATAAACGAATATGCACATTTCCCCGAGTAATTTATGGACACATTTTTAGTTAAAATAAACTTTTTGCAACTTGGGTATAAATCTGGTATATCTATATAATACATAATACTTAACTGAGGGAAAAAAAAACACTCAAATTTATTTATTGGTTAAAGCACATTTTAACTGTTTTAGTGAAAGGTTTCGTGAAAACTTCAAATGCACCAATTTTACTTTATACAAGTGTATATCAACAATAAAAATAGGGGTCATCTAGCCCTGAAGGGAAACATGTTAATAAACAAGCAAATTTAAAGAATTGCTTTCCCCCGCTTTTTGTGTCGTTGTGAGTAAGATGTCATTATTTATGGCATGTTGTGTCAAATATGAACACCCTATCATATGTCATTAAAAAGTTATCACCAAAGTTGATTTAAAAAAATAGTTCAAACATGAAGGTCAAGGGCCCAGAAAGCGTAATCGGAAATATCTTGTCACAGGTAATGCACATGGCAAATATGAAAGTCCTATCTATTCTCAAGCAGAAGTTATAATTAAAAAAAAAATCAGTAATGAAAATAGATCAAACATCAAGGTTCAAGGTCACGAGGTCAAAAATCATAGTACATTTAGAAACAGGTATGACCTTTGAAAAGATAAATGTTAGGGTACACTTTTAAAATACATTTTACATGAATCACAGAAGAACATTACAAATCATTTCTTTGAGCTTGTTTTCCTTTGGAACATCTGTGAACAAACATTCTGTTTTGTCTTTCTGATACATGAAAAGCGTCCAAAAATCATTTGGAATTGTTGTGTTAAACCCTGATATAATAATTTTAAGTTTCTGGTGTGTGTCCTACTTAGAAATGTTTACAATGTAACAAAGATGAAACTCATAATTTGATTTAATCAGCAATGATAAAGTCATCAGGTTTCTGCATGCTTTTCTGACACATCATGTACATTCTTTCTACTTGTTTGTCTTTGTTCACAAAAATTGAAATCAACAGTACTTAGCATTCCATATAAAGAAATATGAACCCTAGCTATTAGAAATTTTGAAATATATTTGTGCATCAATGCATTATGTTTAACAAATCAATCTCTTTCACTGTGATGAAAATTGTCTTCTTCACATAACATGCAGACAAAGAACTTCTTTGGATGATGTCATTTTCACATGTAGAAAAGAAACGAATTCAACTAAAACTAAAAGACAGTCATTAAAATTTTAAGGACATTAAAGGATGATATCAAGACCGAAGTCCAGGAATTGATAAAATTATATAATTATCATCCAAAGATGTATATGTTTGGATTTATTTTTTTAATTCACAAGCAAATGATATGCTGCCATTTAATCTTTCAAACTTTAAAAAAAAAGTTGTATACTTTTGAATTAAAAATTTCAAAATCTAGAGGAGTCTTCCCAATACCTATCTATTTATGACTGAAGGTATGTAAATCACCAGAGTTGCTGTACTGCACCATTTGAATAAAAGTTATATCCACAGTCTTGACTTTTTTTCCCTAAACCTTATTTCAAAACATATATGATTCCAACCAGTCTTTATCTATGCAGTGAAAAGATTTTTACAGACTTCTAAGGTATTACATAGTAATAGTCTTTAAACATCTTTGAACATAGTGCATATGATTTACATTTCAATTCTTTCCAAAGAATATGCTATGCCACCCAATAAAGCTGATATAAAGTCACTAGGTTATCACAAAATGTTATAGTTACAACAACTGAATTTTACCCAGGAGAAAAATGATCCAAAAATCAATAGAAAATCTCCGAATCTTTCTTTACTTATGATGTGAATTTTGCAGGTTACAAATTATTGTCAAAGGTAGATATCTCAATAATCACAAGCTTTGACCCTGACAAAGTGTCCTATAAAACTAAGTGTATTACTCTAACCTGTTCTGTGTAGTAAGCATGAAGTCTAATGGTTGATAGAAATATTCAAGATATTATTACATCACAGATCAGGGGACACTTAACATCTTTATGGGGGTCCTATTGAGACCTATTAAATTCAAAATAGGACACACACACACACATACACAAACAAAATGTATTTACAGTTCCAGGAAAGTAATAATTACACCAAAGCTAGCTTTTACACATCTGTGTAATTTGTTAGGGGTTGTAGAAATAAGATGAAAAATAAAAGGTTTAAATGTATACTTCTCATACATAACAACTGTCTTCAATATGAATTGGTAAAAATAAAAGTCACATTTAGATACTTTGAAGTCTGGGAATTTTTTTTTTAAAGATCTCATACTATCAGAAAATAACAATATCAATTCTAGGATTTGATTAGACCTCATTTTGTTAAGGGCCATCGCTTGCAACCAAGATGGGACAGGATCTCGGAGATGACGCCCCCACAAAGCCCTGCAGCAGGACATTTGCCACCCAGAACCCATGCAAGGAACAACAACAACCGTGCTAACACCCAAAACACAGGTTTAACTAGCACTTCTAGCTCTCCGGGCACCAGGGAAGAGGTTTTGGATCAAGAAGATACGTTCGCTTAAAGCTTGTTGGCTGGTCTTGTGTCACAACTAATAAATAAAACCAACGGCCCTTTTAAGGGCCATCCAATAGTACAGAAAATAGGATTTTTACAGAAAACCAAGGTATTACATAGTAATAGTCATATAAACACCTTTGAACATTGTACATTTGATTAACATTTCATTCCTATTCTAAGAATTTGCACCTAATTTTTATAAAGTCTATAAGTTATCACACAATGTTAAAGTTACTGCATTACAGGACTCAAATCAGTAATCTCAGTTACTAACTTTTACCCAGGAGTAAATGATCCAAAAAAAATCTATAGAAATATCTTATTGATTCTTCATCTGTGTACTTATGATGTGAAGTTTGTAAGTTACAAATTATTGTCAAAGAAGTCATCTCAATAATCTTATGCTTTGACCTTGACAAAGTGTCCTTAACAACAAAGTGCATTCCTACAATCTTTCCATATGTAATAAGTATGATGGATGATAAAGATATTCAAGATATTATTAAAACACAGATTATGGGACACTTGCATCTTTATTGGGGGTCTTATTGAGACCCAATTTAAATTCAAAATTAAACATGATACATACACAAACAAAATATATTTACAATTCCAGGAAAGTTAAATAATAACATTAAATCCAGCATCTGGATATCTGCGTTAATTTCTAGGTGGTTGTAAAAATTAGATGAAAAATAAAAGGTTTAAATGTGTAATTCCCATACATAACAACAGTCTTCAATATGAATTGGTAAAAAAAATAAAAAGTCACTTTCAGATACTTTGAGGTCTGTGAGAATTAGTTTTTAAAGAGCTCATGCTATCAGAAAATCATATTTTCAATACTTGATTTGACTAGATCTCAGTCTGATAAATGATTACACTTTATCCATAGTCAGTGTCTGACAGTGAAAGATACAATCCTGAGTCCTTTCTTTGTCATCCTGTAAACCACAGTCTATGACCGTATTGGTTAAATTGGTTGGAAATCATATTTATCTATGTTCTTCTTAAATCCTCCATCTTCTTAAGTTTGGTTTTCTTGTTTCAGTGTTCCAAGAGAGGATATTCTGTTAGTCTTTGCATAATCTGAAAGTCTTTCACCATTCTAAGAGTAGACATAGATCATTTCCATAAGCCCTCACAAGAGAATCCTGAAAAAATCAAAAAAAATAATGTCTTAGTTGAAAAAGAAAAATTGTAATGCAATATAAGCTTGATGGAATTCTAAATATAGACAAAAAGGGTATAAATACAAGTTGTAACATAAGATTTTGACTTTCCATATTAACCATGGGTAACACCTCCAGTAAAGAAAAGAGTAAAGGAATGAGTAAAATTCAGTTTGGAGAGAGAATTCTTTCAGAGAAAGATGTAGACAGAGGTATACCAGTTAAAATAAAAAAAGATGGCACTAGTGAGATCATTTCTCAACAAGAATATAACCAATTAAGTCCAGAGAAGGGTGATCCTAATGTTGTCAGAGATTACATAGAAAGACCCTTGATTGCAGAAGAAGCCAATGAGGAATATAACCATTTATTACCAAAAGAGGGTAAGAATTACTTGGATTACCCTGAAAGACCTTTGACTAGAGAAGAAGTCAAGTTTATAGATGATAAGAGAAAACAGTTGTCAGAAAAAAATGTTGTTAAAGACACATGATTTTTAGCCCACAAAACCATTTGAGATACAAGGATTACAAGATACAAGGATTAATGGAGGAAGTCCAAACTGAACTCTTGGAGGACATTAAGGCTTATTATGAGAGTAACTTTTCCAGTATTTGTTTATTACAAAATTATGTATTCTAATTAAAAAAAAAAGTTTTAACTTTCATTTGTTGTGCCTAAGACCATTTAAATTGACCTTATGATCAAGATTGTGATATATACATTCTCAATCTAATTAAAATTTTAATCAAAGGATCTAATTTTAATTAGATTGTATACATTCTGATATTATCATCTACGATGTCTCTATGATGTCTACCTCAAAAGATTGAATCAGGGTATTTGTGTTCAAAGACCTGAAGAAACTATACAGACAGATCTAAGATTTTGGAAGCATGCATATTAATGAGGTTAAAGGAGATATAACACTAGATTATTATAAAAGAAAGAACACAAACTCATAGAAATTATATTGAAAGTACCTTTTATGAATAAAGTGTCATGCTCCAAAGTATTATTTTTATAAACAGGAGAAGGTTTACAGCAGTCCCATACACTCAGAAAAAGATCTTGGTTAGTAGAAACACCAGGGAATGTTATTTCCACACAATCAGATCATCTTACATCAGTTATAAGGTTACAATCTTTATACATAGTCAAGAGGGTCATTAAGATTTCTTTTATGGTCATCCTAATGAGCCACATTATAGTATTCTTTCCCTTTGATATAATGTTAATATTAAATGGAAAATTCAGAATTCATCAGCAATTGAAGTCAAAACTTCTTATCTTTACCAACTATGCTATTAAGGAAGCTGGGGGTTTACAAATTAGCCATATTTAACTTATTCTATAGATATGCTATCTTTAGCTGTTAACTATCATTTGGCAAAGAAAAACTTCATACATTTTAGTTTTAAAATTTGATCATGATTTTTATGCCTTTTCTTGTGAAGGATATCAATATGGTTTAAACATGACCATGACCACCAAGCCCTCTTTATTTTAAAAAAAATCATATATCATTTACTTATCAATTCCAAAATATAAAAATGCATATGTAAATAAATAAATAAATAAATAAATAAATAAATAAATAAATAAAAATTACAATTGTATCTCATTGAAACTTTACCTTCAAGTTTGTGTGTTTCTATGTTGATTGACAAACTGTGTATTTCCAAAGGAAGACCAGCAGCCAGGCTTCACTTCATAGAGAATGGATTATAGATGGTTAAGAACAAACCAATTCTTCCATGTTGAGGACTGTAGAAATAAAACCATTTTGTTAATATGACAGAGTACTGCATGAAACAATGCATGTTTAAATACAACATGTACAATGCCAAAAAAGATCATGAAAATATTTGTTTTTAATCTCAAAAAATTGTTTTTAACATTAACTCCAGGTGAGAAAAGTTCATCATGTTATCTATAGATAATAAACAAGCACAACTACTGTATTAATATCATAAATAAAATGATTATCAGATTAATTATTTAGACACTAAAAAACTTACTATCTTTATGATATTGATTTCCATTATCAGATGTTTTTTATCCATTTTTTTTATCCATTTTAAAATATAAACATTTAAATAAAACAGAATTAAATAAATGAAAATGATATCTCATTGAAACTTTACCTTCAAGTTTGATTGTTTCTATGTTGGTTGACTAACTATGTATTTCCAAAGGAATTTGGGCAGACAGGCTGAACTTCATAGAGAATGGATTATAGATGGTTGGGAATAAAACATATCTTCCAGGTTGAGGACTGTAGAAAATATAATCATTTTGTTAATATGACAAGGAACTGCATGAAACATTGCATGTTTAAATACAGTGCCAAAAAGTTCATGAAAATAGTTCATCATGTTATCTTTAGATAACAAAAGAAGCACAGTTACTGTATTAATATCACAAATACAAAATGATTATCAGTGTAATTTTTAGACACTAACAGACTTTCTCTTAACAGCATATTCAATTTTGTTTAATACCTGTCAGTACAGCATACAAAAAGATATTAGCATATACAACATGTAGTCCTACATTTTTTGAAAAGCTCATTACCAAGAAACAAAAGTGAAAATGAAAATATATGTATGCCATATCTACCACATATTTAGAATCAAAACAACGATAAACCTTTTGTAGATTCTTACTTTTTCTTTTATTACATTCCTTATAGATCACAATTTAGTAAGTCTGAATTCCATGGGTAACAGACATAATGAATTATGATATTATATCATAATTTATGCAAAAGGACTTATTAACAATATGAAGTTTCCTTAGTATATTTTAGACAAAATAAGACTGTGCTTATATGAATGTTAGAGATATTAGATCACATAAGAATTACACAGTAATTAAATTAAACCATATAATCATGGTTAAATGCAAAGATGACCTTCATAGGAAATGTAAACAAAACAAAGACAAACTTACCAGAATTATCCAATTATATGCCCAATTAAATAATCCAGTGAAATAACATCTCAGCTGATCCTGAAAAAAAGCATACAATATTCAGTGATACACAAATTAACCTCATTTTACAAAGGAAGTAAAGCAACAATTGACAGACAAACAGGACAGAAATGTAAAAGATACCATATGTATTTTACCAAAATTTAGTAAACATTTTTTCTGATTTAAATTCAATCACAGAATGACCCATCATAGTAATATTAAATACACTCTGGGTTACATGCAAATTATACCTTACATGAACTGAGAATAAATACCCCATTTACATTCATATAAACTGAATTTTACATAACTAATTACTCTTTTAACTGATGTCACCATTAGTATGTCAGAATATTCAGGGTGTACAAATCATGTATATTCACTTTTAAAGTACTCAATATATATTTTACATGTTGATGTTTGAAATCACTGACTAAATAAAATACATACATGTATATACATGAAGGTTTAAAAAAAAGGGGGGGGCACACATGTTTATAGATTTACAGAGATGCTCAGACTGAGTTTTTCCCACTTTCATTGGGCCACTGTTGCACCAGAATGTAAAAATATGAGTGACAAATAAGGCAAAAGATTCTGTATATTTCATTAAAAAAGATTTGAGACAAAAGATTCATTGGCATAATATGATCTGATTGATTATCTCCATATCCTTCTTTTGGTCACTGTGATTAAAGATTCATAGAAATATTAGAAATGACAACTGAGAATATCACTTTAGTTGTTTTAAAAGTATGTATCAGTATTTTATAAGATATGCTAGGAGTCTCCTCATAAGAATATTTAGAATACTGATCCAATGAAAGGAATGTGAGACAATATGATCATAACTCATGCAAAAAAGATTGATCAACATTTTGAGGATCTTTTAGTGTCCTAGTGTATTTCAGGGTAAACAATGGCAGTGTTTATATGAATGTTCTAAACATAAGGTATATAACACAGTAATAATGAATAAATACAAAGATGACCTTCATAGAAAATGTATAAAGAAAAGTTTGTTAAAACTTACCATGTAACCAGGTAACTCAGTAGAGTAATATTCATTAAATAATCCAGTGAAATAACATCTAGGCTGATCCAGGATTCAGCTGTTCAGAACTTTCTTGGAAGAAAAACGGTAGAAAATCAGTTTTGGTACTGAAATCCATAGGACCATACTGTTATTACATGAAGTCTCAAGCGCTGTGAAAGTCTGTGTTATTGTGTCAAAATAAGCAGCCATCGCAGCTTGTGAAGGACTAACATGACGTCGCTGCCAAGTTTATGACGTCACAATGCATAGGTAAGCTCGCTGACTAGATAGTTTACAGAAAGATAAGTCCAACCTATTTTTTGCAAGATGATGCAACAGGTATAATAAGATGATGCAACAGGTATAAAAAAGATGATGCAACAGGTATCAAAAAGATGATACAATAGATATAAAAAGATGATGCAACAGATATCAAAAAGATGATGCAATAGATCTAAAAAGATGATGCAACATATGTACTGAATTGACCCACTTATCCCCTCCAGGGGCTGCACTCTCTTGACCCACCTATCCCCCCAGGGGCTGCACTCCCTTGACCCACCTATCCCCCACAGGGGCTGCACTCCCTTGACCCACCTATCCCCCTCCAAACCTGCACTCAGTTGACCCGCCTATCCCCCCAACCCCAAAAGTGCACTCAGTTGACCACCCCATCCAGACCGTTTATACTACTAACAATGTCATTAAAGATTTCATACACTGTATATATATTATTTGAAGAATGTGGGAAATTTGTATAATGAAACATATGGAGATAACGAACAGTTTCCAAACTCAAAAGTCCATAAACCAATACAAAATATGAGCAATCACGGACCTCCAAAACATCAGAGGTGGGGTCAGGTGCCATGGAGGAGTGAGCATCCTCTGTCGACCGGTCACAGCCACCGTGTGCTCTTTGTCATGATCAGAAAATTACAGGAAAATCCGTTGTCAATTCAATGTATGAATAATCCGTATGAAAATCATCAGTCAGTAAGCTATCAAACTATTTTTTTCTTTCTCATTGCACTTATTTAATTTAGAATTGTTTTTGTAAAATGTGAAAATAATTTATTGTTTTTTTTTACACGTCGAATTGTAGACGGATTCTTTCTATTTTCAAATCTTGACAAGGAGCACACGACGGATGTGACCGGTCGAAAAGGGTGCCAACCTCTCCATATGACAACTGATCCCGCAACTGGTGTTTCGGAGATCTGTGTTTACTCTGCCCCTATATTGTTTTGTAAGACGGACTTTGAGTTTGAATACTGTTCGTTATAATCATATATTTTATAGACTGAATGAAAAATTTACAATATTTCTACTTGTCTAAGCTTGCAACAATTGGGTCCTTATTTTCAAGATTCAAGTTTTTGGTATTGAAATACTTGTGAAACTTCATGTGAATGCGATTAGAGAAATAGAATGGTCTTAGCAGGATCTCTTTGGTAAGGGAAATATTATTTAAAACACTATATAATCTGGTATATAATGTAAACATTAAATAAAACTGTTTCATAAGAACATCGCCGAGACCCCTGGTGTTTATGAAACTTTATCATTAATTTTGTAGATCTATGCTCAGTGATGTAAAGATTTAATGTCACGATTCCACTGAAATATGGCAAATGAAATAGGGAACCACTGTTTTTAATTGCAGTCAGACTTCCCAGTTATTTTAAGTACCAATTATTCGATTCACAGATTTATTGTGCTCGACATATGTTAATAACTCCACTAAAATTATTATTCTTGAGTTAGTGAATACGGAAATATGATGGCTACATTACATGAGTATTAACGGTTCATTTAGAAATAAGATCATTCTGAGAGAAGATTAAAGAATTAACAATACAGTTTCTAGGTTTCCTATTCGAAGTTGACTTTCAATTGGTTTGTTTAAATACTGAATACAGTTACTGGAAAATCTCATTGACATAACATTAAAAGGATTTAGAAAAAAAGATTTTAAATCTAACACATGTGCGTGTTTCAAAAGAAGACGTTGTAACTTTTTTCTTTGCAATGTGAATAGAAAGAGACACGTGCAACAAATCAAACTTTACAAGTTTATAGTTTACTCTGCTCATACCTGTTTGAAAAAATCGCAGTGGGAAATAAAAACCCCATTCGTTAAATGGCTCAAATTATCAAACAATTTATTTTTCTCACTGCACTTATTCAATTTAGAATTCATTTAGTAAATAGTGAAAATAATTTATTGGTTTTTTTTTTTACGAAAAATGTGAATTTTTTTTTATTAAAGTTTGAAATTTGTAGTTTTATGAATATATAAAATACCGCAATTGAAATCACATCTTAACATGAATTGCACTTGCTATATAGCATACATCAGTACATTTGAAGTAATAATTACATTATAGTATTGTATTTATATGGATTGTCTTTTGAAATTGGTTGTGTGTGAATACCGTTTTATGTTAGAATACAAATGCATAAAAGTAAGCATAAATATTTTTTTTTATATTTTTAACTTAAAGGTGTTTTTTTTAAAAATCATGTAAGGTAATATCTTTTCATGCTCTCTCTCTCTTTTCTCTCTTTCTCTCTCTCTCTCTCTCTCTCTCTCTCTCTCTCTCTCTCGCTGCAAAAAGGCACATCGGAATTTATGTTTACCTCTGTGAGAACTTATTCAAAGTAATAACAGAATACACGCAGCTCATTGAGAAACAGAATTGAATGTATTGAGTTCTTTTTAATAATAAAGGAATGCATTTATATTAAATACCCTTTGCTTTTACAAAATATTGATAATAATAATTCACATGAAAGGTTATTTAATATTGTGCAAGCATGTACAGTTTTTTTAAAAAGTCTAAATTAACCAAAGGATAAAACTCTCTCTCTCTCTCTCTCTCTCTCTCTCTCTCTCTCTCTCTCTCTCTCTCTCTCTCTCTCTCTCCCCTATGAGAGTGTTTTCATATAAAAATGTCAAATTATTATTACATTTATACCACAAAGGAATTAAAAATCAGAACTGTTATATTTAAATGAGTTTTTTAAGCCTCCATGTCTGCATGTTAGACATGAATATTTAATCTCCGACTTCGCAGCATAATCTTAGATCTGATCTAGACTTTGATGCTAAAATGCGAGTTTTAAATGGAAAATACCACGTTGCACTTCTATATAACCTCACAGACATGTAGCAGACTTTGGCAGTGCTTTAATTTCAAATTTTAAGACTATAACTGTCAATTTATTAGAAGAATTTTATCTATCTTTATATTTAAATGATAAAGTATATTAATATCAGACTTATTCACAACCTTCCAAATATCTGGTTCCTATTATAATGAAGGATCATTGACCCCCTGTTCAAAACTGACATCGCTAGAGGACACAATTGTACTTATTAAGGCAATGAACCCCCGGCAAAACATTACAATATATCTCTATTGTCTGCTTCCGTTATATTGAAGCTGACATACTAAAATTATTAAGTGTTTTATTGAATTAATTATTTTGTGGGTTTTTTATTACCTCTACTTCACAAAGAAATGAACTCTTTTAATTTCTGATTTCTTCAACAATATCTGCAATGTTCTTGCATTATAAGAAATGTACTTCAACAGTCAATTTCATACTAGTAGTTAGATATCAGAGCAGTATGCATTAGATTGCATGTAACCCATTCTTAGTGGTTGGTGATTCAACAAACTAGGTTTGTTTTCAAATAGTATGAGAGAGAGATAAAGAGAGATCAGGATATGTATACCTTTTGTTTCTTATATGTCTAAAAAGTTCAAAGAACAAAACTAAAATTTTTCGGATCATCCGAATTAAACTTCAGAATAGCACCTCATCTTTGTCAAATTTGAACATTTCAAATTTTGTTAAGATTTAAAAATAAGAACACTAACTGTACACTGAGGGTGAGATAACACGTCTCACTAGCCATCTGGATAGTGCCACGAAAAATTCTAAATGTTACAAGGCGCACGCGCACTTACATTTATGGTTCGCTGTAACATCTTGCAAATGGGATATCATATAAATCATGGACTGGAACTCTAAAGTGGATTTCAGTACTGGGATTTTAGAGTTAGCCTTAAAATCTCGACATTAGGAGAAGGAAACGTTCTGCCCTCAAATCCATATTCAAATAAATTGACATTTGATTAATTAGTTATATAAACATCCTTTAAAATGTTGATTTATCAATAAGTAACCAGTTGAAATCGAATAAAAATTTCCCAGGGGTCTGCAATATCTGTTACATATTTGGATATTTCACTGACTTTAGACAATAAGGGCCAACTAAAATTAAAGTGTATGACATCTGGATTATTTGTCATCGATTGATTGATTGTATGTTGATTAACGTCCATCTCGAGAATTTTTCACTCATATCATATGGAGACGCCACCACTTGCCGAAGGAGAGCTGCAAATTTTGTCCTAATTGGCACTCAGGGCATTTTAGCAGGAAGGGATCTTTTTCGTGCCAGCACTTACTGCGACACGGGACCTCGGTTTATACGGTCTCATCCGAAGGACCGGACTCCACCTCCCACAGTGGGATTCGAAACTCCGACGTAAGGATTGACTCTTTACTTCGCGACTCTAGAGCCGACCGCTCTTACCACTGCGCAATGCGGGCAACACTTTATCACATTCAATTTTCCTTATTTATATGGTAATACCCAGCATATGGTGCTGAGGTCTCTCGACGTATTCGAGAGAATGACATCAACATTTCTGTCGACAACTTCTCTTATATAAATAAGTAGAAATATACACCTTACACCTGTACATGAAGATTATATGTCTCTGATGATTCGATTTCAAGAGCAGGCACTACCACCGGACATTTTCTTCAACGAAGCAAACTATTGATAAACGTGGATATCAACAGTCTCGTTTAAAGTCAACATCTCGCAAGTTCTATGGTCGACACACTGATTTGTCAGGAAATACGATCCCTTTTTTAACCGAATGATGACTAACATTTTTCATAGTATTGTTCTGTCACTGTTTATACACAGCATTGTACATGTATACGGATTTTTTTTTTCCTTTTACCCGAACATGAATGACGAGGAGTAAACGGCGGATTTGTCCGGTAGACAGGGGTTCTCATTTCTCCAATGCTCCTGGTTCCATCTCTGTT